AAATAATGTTCAAGATGACTTTTGATCACACTAAATGTCTTACCCTTTTCTGGGTCATAGTCTATTTGAAACTAAGAGAAACGCAGGAAATAGTTGAAGCACAAAATCTCACCTATAGTGTCTGAATCTTTCAAGGATCATTTGAAGTTCAGTTAAAAAATATAGGAAAAATGATATTCTTTAAGTCATTGAAATGTCAACAAGTACTTTTTAGATACTTCAAATTTTATTTTTTTAAATATTTATTTCTTTATGCACACAAGAGCTGGGGTACAGGCCAGAGATGCGGGGGGTGAGAGGATTCACCAGAGACAGAGTGGGGAACAGAACAGGCAGAGTTACTAAAATACACTGCTGAGGGGAGAAGCAGGCGAGACAGGAGAAATCTGCTGTGCCATGTGGGTTGCTCCCCGGCCGGGGATCAAACTCGTGCTGCAGAGGTGTTAAGCACCTCACTATGATGCTTCAAATTTTAAAGACACTTAATCCTTTACTCTCAGGATCATTGATGCTTGTTATATTTTGGTAGTGTGCAATGCACCAATAAAATAGGGAAGGCTTATGGGCCTTTAGAATAAGTACTTCAACCCATCTACTTATTCACTGAATTGATGTATTTACTATATCAATCTGTGTGTGGTGCTCTTTACATATTTCATTTAAGGCTTATAATATCCCTATGAAGTGAATATTGTTTTTCAATTTATCTGTGAAATGCCTAGTTATAGATGCTCGGATTTGTTTGGGGATAGCAACATATAATTATGACATTTTAACCCAATGGCTATTAATTTTGTTTAGTGAAGACCAACTTTAAAAAATAGGTAGAGTTGATGCTGTGGTAGGGCAAATACATAATACAATGGGAATGTTGACCTCACACTAAAGCAATCAGGTATTCCAGTAACAAATGAAGTTCATTTGGAAACAAACAACAGGAGAAAGGGCAGATTGGAGGGTGTGTTCATGATGGACACATATGTAATTCTCTGACTCCCCGGCTAGTAGCTTCCTGAAGGACCTTGCCTGCAGTTCCACTGGAGGGAAGGACGGCATCACCTCCTATAGGAGGTGTTAGGCTTGTTGGGTACTGTGGCTTAATGATTTTCACCTGTGTGGACACTCTTTAGCCTCCCAACTTCATTTAAGTAGTTGCATTCTGCATACTAATATTCATAGGAACAACTAGCTTGGACTTCAGTAAGAATGGGCTTCCTAAAATAAGTGACAAATGGTTCCAGACAAATGACTGTCAGATTCTTGTAGGTTCAACAGGGGAGAATGCATTACAATGGAGTAGAGTCTGAGCTGCAGAAGTAGTTTGAAAACAGTTAATAAAGGGTCTTGCAAGTCTTACTAAGAAGTTTGGATTTTATATTAGGAGTAATGAAAGTCACTGTGGGTTTTAAGCAGCTAAGTACAAGAATCATATTTCAGTTCACAAGGATAATAAGTCTGGTAAAACACAGAATTAATAAAAAGAAAAGATATAAAATGAAATAGTCTGACTCAGGGACCATTATCCTTACTTCAACTCACTGGTTGTGATAGTGAGTTTGGAGTGCACTGGACATACTAGGTTGATACTTAAAAGGCATAATGAACAAAATTTGAGAGCTACTAAATGTACATGTAAGAGAAATGAAATAGATCAGGATTTAGCATCTGTTAATACTCACCTCTTAGAAAAGGAAGAATTACCAGTAGGAAGATGAATTCAGTTTGGGATAAGAAGGCAAAAGGATGACCAGACACATGTTGTCAAGAGAAGCTAAGGAAGAATATTTTAGGGACTCAATGGTCTACATATCACATGTTGCCAAGGGTCAAGTAAATAAGAAGAATTAGCTGTCTGCATTCATTTTACAAAAGATAAGCAAATCTTTTATCCTAGGAATTAGATTGGTTTAGTAACACAGTTTGTAAATTCTAGAGACAGATTAGACCCTGGAATCTGTGACTCTAAATCCTAAGCTTTCACACTTTGTCTTTTTTTTTTTTTGGTAGATAAAAGGTTATTTTTTTTTAATTTGGGTTTTTTTATCTTATATATTTCTTACATCATTTTTCATTTTTGCACAATATATGCATTTTCATCTTGGTTATAGTCTAAAATCCACACTTTGTCTTTTAATGGACTTTATTTTCTTGAGTCATTTTCCCTTTACAGAGAAAATGAGCAAAATATATACAGTATTCTCTTCCCTCTCCTGTTCCCCCATTAAAATTTGCATTTGAAATAACTGATGAACCTATATTGATATATCGTTGTTTACATTAGGGTTCACTCTTTGCATTGTACATTCTGTGGGTTTTTACATAAATATAATGATATATGTCCACAGTTACAATATCATGCAAAATTAGTATGATAATTTTGATTAGTACAGAATCACTGCCTTAACAATCCCTTTTTATACCGTTTCGTCCCTCCCTCTCCTCTTCCCTGCCCTACCAAGTCCTTAAAAAACACTGATCTTTTTAATCTTCCCAATTTTACCTTCTCCAGATGTCATATAATTGGAATAATACAGTATGGAATCTTTTGCGATTGGCTCTTTTCACTTAGCAATATGCATTTGCATTTCCTCTGTCTTTCCATGGCTTCAGAGCTCATTTCTTTTTATTGCTGAATGATATTCCATTGTCTGACTGTACCACTTTATTTTTTTTTAAATCTCATCACCTACAAATGGTATCAGGGTTACATATATCCAAGCTTTTGCAATTATGATTCAAGTTTCTATAAGTATTAAAATTCAGGTTTTTGTGTGGATAGGTTATTTGGGTAAATGCCAAATACTACTGGGTTAAATGGAAAGGGTATGTTAGCTTTGTAAGAAACTTCAGTCATTACCACCGGCAGTGAATGTAAGTTGCTCTTCATTCTCACCAGTATTTGCTCTTGTCAGTGTTTTGGACTTTAGTCATTTTAGTAAGGTGTGTAGTGATACCACATTTTTGTTTTAATTTTTAATTCCCTAAAGACATTTCATGTTAATGATCTTTCCCATGCTCATTTGTTATCTATCTATCATTTTTTGGTGAGGTGTCCATTTATCTTCTACCCATTTTTAAATGGGTTATATATTTTTATTTATATCTACTTTCATTCTTACAATAGTTTTATATTTAAAATAGCTTATAGCTGAGTCTTACTCTTTTAACATGTTTAGCCCATTGATATTTAATATAATTTTTAGTATGTTTGGATGTAAGCCTAACTAGTTTTCTCATTTTATCAGCTGATTTTTGTTCCTGTTTGTATTTTCCTATTGTTTTGATTTTTTTTAAATAATTTGAGTTACTCTCTATTGGTTTCTTGGAAATACTGTTTGAATGTTTTTTAGTGACAGCTCTAGGAACTACAATACACAACCTTAACTATTCATAGTCTACTTCTTGTTAATATTGTATCACTTGTGAAAATTAGACAGTACATGTATTACTCTTCCACTGCCCTTTATGTTATCAGATGTCAGTTAGTCCCATATATTTGAAACCCCACAAGGAAATCAATTTCTCTCTCTGACTTGAAATTTCTTATAATTCTTTCATCTGCTACATATTGTCTTAGATTTGATTATTTGAAATAAAAAAACGTTATCGCACCTCTTTGAATACTTTCAATGGCTGGAAGACATGCATTGTCCATTTAAGGAATTCTGGTCTACTGTTCATCAACTTTGAAAGTTACCAACATGGACCACAGCTTCTTTTTTTTTAATATTTTATTTTCTTTTATATATTTTGTACATCATTTTTCATTTTTGCACAATGTATACATTTTCATCTTGGTTTATTCCCACCCCTCCTTATTTTGACCCTAATCCTGCCTTCCCCCCTCCAACCCCCCTCCACAGTGTGTCTAGTTTATAGTTACTACAAGGATGGAGCTGGAAGGGATCATGCTCAGCGAAACAAGCCAGAAAGAAAAAGAAAAATACCGAATGGCCTCACTCATAGCAGGAATTCAGAAAACCTAAATAAGGGACCAGGAAAAAGACTAATTATAATAAAGGACCACAGCTTCTTTCCGCTCTTCTACAATACAAATAATTCCATATATCTACCTGTATTTTTAATACACATTTCCTTTCCCTAACAGCATTGTCAAATAGAACTTTCTGTGATGATAGAAGTTTCTTCACTGTCCAAGAGAACTTTAAAAAGGTCACATGTGGCATTAAATACTTGAAATGTGACAGTGTGATGGAGGAATTGAATTCTTAATTTTAGTTCATTTAAATTTAAGCAGCCACATGTGGCTAATGGCTACTCTGGCCAGTGCTTAACACATATTTTTGCTTCCTTTTTCAGAATACATTAGCTAACTATATAGCATTACTCTAATAATTTGTTTTGATTTATATAGTTAATTAAATAGTAATTTAAGTGGTGATACTATGTAAGATTTCAAGTTAAGCATGATTTGAACTGTCAGTCTTAGATTTAGAAAGTTTTTTTTCTTTGATTTTTTTTTATAACTGTTAGTTATTGATCTCTTATTAAACACACACAGAAACAAGTCCAAATCCCTTTAACTTTTGTGTTATGTATTAAAAAAATCAAAATATGTTCTATATTTGCATGGTTACTATAGTCATTCCCCTTTTACCACCTTTCTATATATGGTAAAATTCTCATAATAAGTCTGCATTTTTTCCAACAAAGTTATTACAACCTATTAGTTGTGCTACATATTTGAAGACTTCTGACAATTTAGTATTTTCTGGGAAAATTATTTTTAAGCTTATCAAGAGCCTCCCCCCTTAGTCTCTGCTCATTTTCTAGGTCCTTAAATTAGCACTTATTGAATTAATTATTGTTATTCTCTTTTATAGGTAACTTTAAAAATAAATAGTCCCATAGAATTGTTTTGTAAGTTTAATTTTAAAAAGTAAATGTCATCATTTAACATACTGATGATTTGAGGATTTTTGCTTTATATTTTATGCATTTCAATTTATTGCATGATATTTTGATTTTTATCATTTTAGGACCACCAAACAATTTTGAGAGCATGGGCTGTAAAAGACTTTGCACCAAATTGTCCTTTGTATGTCCAGATATTAAAGCCTGAAAACAAATTTCATATCAAATTTGCTGGTAAGTTAAGTCTGAAATGAGATACTTTTGAATTTTCTAAAATTCTCATTGTGATTGTAAGAGATATGTCTCTGAAGTTGGTGGAAACTTAGTATATTCATGATTCTGTAGAAGGACTTCCTTTTGATTATTTATTTGTTATAAGGATTATTCACTTAATGTGATGAGGTAATGTTTTGGGGTGACTCTACATTTTTAAGTGGTAGTTCTTTTGTACAATGTAAGCACAGGTGTCCCATGATCCATGCTATTAATTTATACTTACATTTCACAATGATAAATAATATTTTGCTATAGATTATAGATAATTTTGCTATAAATATACCCTGCAAATTAGAGTAATCTATTAAGATGTATTCAAGTGATTTAAGTAGGCTATTTTGGATTAGGTTTTGAAAACAATTCTAGAAAAATAAACGTAAAATTTTCATGGAGTTACTGTTTTTAAAGTAACTGTTCACAAGGGATTATATTTTAAAATGTTAGGAAATTAAACAGTAAAACAGCACTTTGTTTTTTTCTTACATGCTTCCGTAGGAACTAATTTTAATCCAGACAGTAATTTATACATTTTTTCAAATATAACAACCTTGTTTTTTGTTATATTTTACATATTAGTCTGAAGATTCAAAAGTCATTAAAATGTAAATGGCTTAACTATGTATTTCCTTAAGAGGTTGTGTTCACGCAACTTAAAATGCTTACCTATTAGTATATGATATTTAATGAAATATTTAAACATTAAGAAATTTTAAAATAATAAGGAAATCATGACATTGTTGCTATTCAGTTTATTCTTTTATCATCTAGTCTTGCTTCTGTTGGCATCATTATTTCTAATAATGTTTACCAAAGTACTTAAAGCAATGACTCTTAACTCTGGTTGTTTTAGTGGTGTTTTGGGGAAGATTTTTTCAGAATTCTAATCACAGAGATTCTGATTTAAATTATTTGAGATTGTGTCATGTCTTCCTTAAGCCTGTTTTATAAACTGAAAATTGAAAGAAACACTACAGCAAATTTTTAGACAAATTTTACAAATTTAATGGAAAAATACATCTAAAGTACTCCATTCATGGTCTCTTACATGTGTAGTTAGCATTCAAAGTATGCCAAATTTTTATCTAAAAGACCTTTTTACAAAGCTGCTTTTTTATTATCATTATTTACCAGTATTTTTGCAAAATAGTCTTTGTACCTTATAATGACTTGCTATGTTTAACTTTTTAGGAAAGGCACTAATCACATAAGCACTACAGTCCTAAAACTTTGAATTTAAATTTGTGAGTCACCATTTATGATTTAAAAGAACCGATTTGTTTTCTAAGTTCTATTTTCCTGTCCTGTTTAATGGTTGTACTGCATATTATGTCTGTGTTCCATCCCTTAGGATTAGCAGTAAGGATTAAATAAATAATGTCTGAAACATACTAGGTGTTTAATAATGGGTATTGAATGGAAATCTTAGGACACTGCTGTTTGGAAAGAATGTCTAATTTTGAATGTTTTATAAAATAAGATTTAAAACATAATATATTCTTTCTTCTATAACAAGCTATTAATATGCTCACAACAGATATATATATATATATATATATATATATATATATATATCATTGAAATGGTCCAGTTTTTCAAACAAAAAAATTCCAAAAACTATTTACATTGATTCTTATTTTGTCAGAGTTGTTTTTTTTTTAAATAGAGGCATGTTATTTATTTATTTATTTGTTTGTTTGTTTTGTTTATACATGCACTGGGTACAGTCAGAAGCACGGGAGGGTGAAAGAATTCACCAGAGCCAGAGCGGGAAGCAGAGCAGGCAGAAGGACTGAAGCACACTGCTGAGGGGAGCAGCGGGTGGCAGGAGAGGTCTGCACGCCATGTGTGACCCTCCTCCAGTGGCCGGGGTGCAGCTGGGGATTGAACGGGCGCTGCAGAGGCCGCGGGCAGCTTCGCAACCCAGCGCTCAACCGCTGCGCCACCGGGGAGGCCCCCTTGTCAGAGTTTTGATAAACCCATTGAAATGAATTGAGTATATAAAAATTCTACCCGGTCTCAGTGTTGTCATTTATGGGCATCTGCTGAAATTCCTTTTAATAATGTCTGTATTATTTTATGGCTGAGATTACAACATCTTAGAGGAGTTCTTTTTATATTATAAAAAGATGAAAGCACCCTAGCTTCATTAAAATGCTATACAACACAGCTTGGGATGATGTATGAGATTCTCAAACCAACATAACTTTTTAATATCTCAGCATGAGTTTGAAAAGATTATAGGTTTTACCTTTCAAGAAGTGGTGTATCAAGTTGTCACTTAGTTTATGTGGTAACTTGTTAAAATAATAATCTCCAGGGAGCCTGTCTCTATGTCCCCTTATGATGTGCCTTTGCAGCTTATTCCATGAGTAAGTGAAATCTAAATTTTCACCCATTGAAAATGGGCTGGTCTTGTGATTTGCTTTAACCAGTAGAATGTTCCAAAAGTCATGGTGTATGACTTAAGAAGTCCTGAAAGGTCATGCAGCTTCTTTCCCTTAATTGCAACATTGCCCAGAAACTATGTATGAATAATCTTGAGTTAGCCTTTCCAAGAAGGAAAAATCATATAGAAAATGAGGCACATTAATTCCAAGCACCTCACCTATTTAGTTCTTTTTTTCCCATTAGCTAATCCTTGGAATCACATTGACCCACAGAATTTTGAGAAATAAAATTAGTCACTTTAGTTAATTCACTAGGTTGTTATGAAGAAGTAGATAACTATTTGTAATAATAGTTATTACAACTTAAAGATGGAAATTTAGTTAAAAATCTGTTACTTAAACATATATTTACTTATATTACTTAAATATGTTTATTTTGCAAAAAAGGATTTGCAATAAAATAATAATCGATTTAGCCTTAAACCGTAGCACCTGATCTATTCTTATCCTTGTATTCTCAAGAGTACACTTGAGCCTTGAATAAAATGGGTATGAAATGGGTATGATTTTCTAAATAAAATGGGTGTGGTTTTCTAAATAACATTTTTTTTTCTGTAGCTGACTTGTTAGAAGGATGCAATATGTAATACACTTAAACTTCAAAATATGTGCTAATCAACTGTTTATATTATCAGTAAAGGTCCAATCAACATCATTTTACTAGTAGTTAAGATTTTTGAGAGTCAAAGTTATACCGAGATTTTGACTGGGTAGGGTGTTGACCGTCCTGATCCCTGCACTGTGCAAGGAACTGTATGAAATAGCTGAATTCCAATTATCATAGTTATAAAATGAGATTTTCATTTACATTTGCTTAAATAATCATATTAATTTGCCCTGAAATGTAGAACTTCTACCACAAGTATAGTTTATATATTTTAAAAAAAAATCTATGATTTTAAAAGATAAAATGGAAAAACTTAAAAAATTCAACTTATAAGTTTGTAAAATACTGTAAAGAAAAAAGCAACCTAGCAACTATTGATTTGTGTAGATCTATCATTCATATTCTTAATGAATTATTTTCTCCCAAACAAAATGACCATAGGCATTCTTTAAAGAAAATTGGAATTGTTACTCTATTATTTGAATGAGTATATGAGTCATTATACTATTAATTATAGTTATATACTATACTTTGATTGGAAAAAAAAGCATATTGACATGATTTAAACAATATAAACTTTTTTTCTTACTCATATCACCAAGAGAGGAAGGTAAAAAATAGTAAGGCTACTGATTGAAAATCCTCAGTAGAATAATAGTTATGATAGCAGATGTCTAAATATAAATAAAAATATACTACAAACTATAGAATTAAATAACATAAAAATAATCTTCACAGATAATTTGATTATATTTATCACCATAAATTTTCTAAGTAGAAAATAAGCACAAATTAGTTCATAGGAAAACAGTGTACTTTCAGCAATTTGTGCTTTTTATAATAAATTTGTCAAAGTATAGAGATTAATATTGCAAATTCTGCAATGAGATTGTCTTCAGTCTTCATCCTACTGTATATTAACTGAATGACCAGGGTTTCTCAGTCTCTCTAAACTTGACTTCTTCAATATGTAAAATGAAGATAATAAGGGAAATTATCCAATAGGGTTGTTGCAATTAAAAAAAAAATCCTCAGAAGAATATCAACCACTAGTAATTGTGATGGTTATCAATAATATTAAGTGCTTATTTCTCATTTTTCTAGCAAATCTGTAGTATCTTTGTTTCCAGGAAAAAGTTTGACTGAGGATTGTCCATAATATTTTGTAAACAGCTTATTATAGACATTCAAAAACACTTAATTCTCAGTTTGTACATATTTTTGAGATAGTAGAAAAAGAAAGCTCCCTCCCAGTCCATTGTATGAATCTAACATAGTCTCAAAACAAAATTCATTAATTGTGGAATGAGAAATAATACATATAGATGGATTTAATGATTAGCATTAAAATTATATAAAACATTAACAAAATGAAATATATTTTTAAAATAATATGTCATCATCAAGTTGAAGTTATTCTAGCAATAGATCATGTTAAAGGAGAAAACAGTTGTCATTTCAATGAATATAAAAATGCATTTGAGATAAAATTTTAATATCCACTCACAATTGAAAAAGAAAAAAGTGTTAGAAAAACTGTGAATAAAGAACTCCTTAATATAAGGCAAGTTATCTTCCAAATAACCTAGATTTTAAAAAAGCGTGCTTAATAATAATGGATTGAATGTCTGTCCTTAAGATTAGGTCAAACAAGGGTTCTTCCTAAAGCCACCTTTACTCAGCATTGTGATCTAAGTCCTATGGTCTACAGTAAAACTATAACAATAAATAAAAATGATAAGCTTTGAAAAGTGAGAAAACAACCATTATCCGGATATCTTAAGATTCTCTGTGAAGAACATTCTAAGGAATTTTCTTTTCTTCCTGTATACTTTTTTAGAGGGGAGCTCATCCACTTACATGATTTCCTAAATTAAATCTCTCCCTCAGTATCTACCATGATA